CTGATCTAGTGGTGTGCACAGTGTTGTGTGTTTTCCTAGAGTAAATGATCTACTGTATGCCATGTGTAACATAGTGACACACTGGCACACACGCATGTACAACCCCAAATCAGAAAAAGTTGGGACGGTATGTAAAATCAAAATTAAAACAGAAAATAGCGATTTGTCAATCATCTGTGTCCTGTATTACATTGAAACAGTACAGCAGCACATTATTTGATGCGACACCTCATCAACTTTATTATTTGCTCCAAACAAACCCTCACTTCATTTCTGATGCCTGCAACACATTCCAAAAAGAGTTGGGACAGTAAAGCATTTACCACAGTGTGATGCTGCAGTTCCTTTTCACAACACTTAAAAGACGTTTAGGGACTGAGGACACCAAGTGATTAATTAAGTGTGTCAGTTGTAATTTTGTCCCATTCTTCCTGCAAACAAGTCTTAAGGTGTGCAATAGTCTTGGGTCTACGTTGATGCAATTTGCGTTTCAAAATACGCCACACATTCTCTGCTGGGGACAGGTTGGGACTGCAGGCAGCCCAGTCCAACACTCACACCCTTTACCTCCGCAGCCATGCCTAGGTAATGTGCACAGTATGAGGTTTTGGATTGTCTTGTTGAAATATGCACAGATGTCCCTGGAAAAGATGTCGTCTTGTAGGCAGCATATGTTGTTCCAAAATCTCGATGTATTTATTAGCATTAACGGCGCCATAACATTAGGTTACCTTTGCTGAGGGCACTTACACAACCCCAGACCATGACAGACTCTGGCTAGTGGACCTGTTGCTGGTAACAGTCTGGATCAGGGGTGGGCAATTCCAGTCCTCGAGGGCCGCTGTCCTGCTTGTTTTCCAACTAACTTGTACTCCAACTAAGATACCATCTTAGATGAAAGTGGAGTGAGGAAAGATAAAGTGAATTGGTATCTTCCAGCTTCTGACAGGCTGAACACACCTGAGCCTGGTAATCAACAGCAGGTCAGGCACAGGTAGTTGGAAAACAAGCAGGACAGTGGCCCTCGAGGACTGGAATTGGCCACCAGTGGTCTGGATGGTCCTTTTCATCTTTGGTCCGGAGTACACGGCATCCATTCCTTCCAAAAAAGACCTGAAATACTGATTTGTCTGACACAGTACACATTTCCACTGTGTGATGGTCCATCCCAGATGCCTCTGAGCCCAGAGCAGTCTACTGCGCTTCTGGAAACTGCTGACACAGGGCTTCCTTTTGGCACAGTACAGTTTTAACAGGCATTTATATATAACTACATATTGTAGTGTCTGACACAGGTGTGCCACAGTAATCCTGAGCCCATGTGGTTATATTGCTCATAGGAGAGTGATGATTCTTGATGCAGTGCCGTCTGAGGGATCAGAGAGCACGGTCATCCAGCTTAGGCTTGTGCCCTTGCTGTTTACACACTGAGATCTAGATTCCTTGAATCTTTTAATTATGTTACGCACCATAGCAGGTGACATATCCAAATCCCTTCCTATCTTTCTTTGAGGAACATTGTTTTTAAATATTTCAATAATATTCTCACACATACAGTATGTGGACAAACTGGCGGTTTTCGGCCCATCTTTGTTCCTAAATGCCTCTACCTTTCCTGGATGCCAAGTTTGTACCAAATCATGATGCGGTCACCTGTTAACATCACCTGTGTCAAATGGAATCATCATTTCATTGTTTTACCACATTACTAGCCATGAAAATCAACCATTCCAGTCTTTTTGGAAGGTGTTGCAGGCATCAGAATTGAAGTGAGTGTTTATTTGGAACAGAGAATAAAATTGTTGAGGTATCACATCTAATAATCTGCCACTGTATTGTTTTCAATGTAATACAGGACACAGATGAGTTACAAATCACTATTTAAAGTTTTAATTTTGATTTTACACATTGTCCCAACTTTTTTTGATTTGGGGTTATACATTAACATACACACACAGAGAGAAAGGGAGCTATGTTCAAATCACTGCCAAGCCAAAGCATGCAACTTTTTTTTTTCACGTTAACACAGATGCATTACATGTGTCAACAAGAAGGCTCACCAGTTTTCAGCATAGGAAAAGCCCTACAGTACACACATCAATGCATTATGGTAGCTTTACATTGCATAATTACACTTTAGTTACATGGTAATGCTCATATGAGACTCTTTCAAATTTAATGTAATCACAGTGAAGAGACAAGCCTGAATGAAGTGACAATGAATGGTGATGGATGCAGTGAGGTGTGTTGTGCTAGGCGTGTCACCATGACGTGGGGATGCCACATGAGTAAATGATCAACAAATCACTAACATCAATGTGGAAATACAGAAATCAACAACAACAGAATACAGCTTTCAAATACAGATAAGACGCAACAAGAAAAAAAAGGGACAAAACCACAAGCTGCTTTCTGGCTCTGCCCTAAATAGTCCCGCTTTGAAGTGGTTTACTTCTGAGGTTGATGGGGAGGGTTCTGAGGAGTTGGGGGTGTTGACTAGTTAGCAAGGACCTTCTGTTGAGCACTGTTTGTACTTTTAGTAAATGGTCCCGAAGCACAAAGCAATCACAATGCCAAACAGCTTCTATCAAATGAAGTTCAAAGTCTTGGATTCTGATTGATTCTTGTCTTTTTTTGTGTGTCTACCTTTGCAATTTCCCCTCCAGTTTTGAGCTTATGAAAGTCACTCCTGTTCACTTGTAACCACTGTTACTGGAATCTCCACTTGTATTAAATAAAGACATGACAGATACTAGACACTTGGGTTTTGAGTTAGTTGTCTGGTTGTCTTACAGTTTATCTGATAAATAGTTTTATGACATTTTTTTGGCTGTTGTTGAATGTAGCAAACAAAGCCAGTAATGAGAATTCACCGCTCTACCTTCCCGCTACATTTCTGTCCTTGATTTTGCACCGCACAGGTCTCTGAGGTGTTTAACGTCTTATTTCGTCTGTGCTTGTTGGTCTGCAGCCTTCTGCCACTTAATGCGTCCATCGCCGTGGGGGCTATGATTTGCCATCAATATGTGTTTGCTTATCTGCTTTTTTCTGCCAAGCTCAGTCAGTGTAACAAAACAATCCTGTGCAATGTGCAGTCCACAAAAATAAGTCATTTTGGGGCAGATGGCTTAATTGCTATTGATGCACGTTGCCCAGATGAATGCCACAGTTTTTTTGCAAAACTCTGGTGGTAGAGTGAATTTGGGTAAAAAAAGCAGGAGGTAAACAAATTTTCTGTGGTCAGTTTTGCTTGAAAGGGCATGATAATACCTTGTGTATTATTTGTTTATCAAATTTAAAATTTTGTTTATTGCCAGTCTGACACAAAATATTCATTATTACACTTTCTCAAAGTCGCCTGGGCAGCTAATAGTTGTACTAAAGCATAATCATTACAGCAGCTTGTTATTAGTTGTTCCATTTTTCATAATCTAAAGGACAGTGAGTGCAATTTACTACATCAAACTAACACTGCACGTTTTGAAAATCATTTTTTGAAATTAAAAAGACTATTTGGAAGTCTCAAACTATTTGTACACATTTGCATTTGGGCAGCACCAGCTCAGTCACTGTCACATGCCAATCTGACATATAAATATGTCTGCTGCTTTGTCTGCTAAACTCTGTAATATTTTCCATTTGTTCAGTTCTCATACAGAGAACTCTGCCAAGGACTTGACCACTGTCCAAGAAATTTGATCTTGATGTGATTTGGATATTACTGCTGTGCTCCACTGCATTTATCTTGATAGTCTGACAAACGCTGTGGAAATAACAAATCACATCAAGTCGGGTGGCTATTTTAAGATCATAGGAGTATCCCTCTTATTGGCTCATTGTTATCATGGAGGGAAAGAAATCTAGATTATCCCCTGAAAAAACCTGAAGCATTTACAACCACTTCAATTTAGATACCACTGCTGGGGTAGTTGTGTTGGCAAAGGTTAGTGCTGCAGCACTGCTACTAACAGGATGCATGATACGTGGCTGCAATTGAAATTTAAATGAAAGAAAAATAAAGTTGTTCAAAGTAAATAAAATATATTAAAAATAAATACTGTGTAGATGTTGCAAGGGTGCAGTCGTCTTACCTGGGGACACAAGCAGTAGAGGTCTCCCCCTCAGGGGCGTCTGGGGCTGGGCAGCAGAACTGGTGAAGCACTGTTTGGTTGCTGTGCCAAAAAGAATAGAAACAGAATAATAGAATAAATAGAAATGACCATAAAGACATGATAATGTATTTTATGGTAAAACTGAGATGTCTTTTTGTAACTCCCATATAATTTGAGTCCAATTTTCCTAACCCTAACCCCAAATAATTGACCGCTAAACCCTCCCCTAAACAGTCGTTGTCCAATAATAGCTTAGTAACTACTATATAACTGGGCAGGTTAGGCTCGTCATGCTTCAGATAAATCAATGTGTCGAAGCTCTTTCCAAAAACAACAAGAAAAAAGTATTAGTATAAAGAGTGGATCAAACTGTGTTTATCTGCTCTAATGTAATCCGCAAGTTGCCTTGCTTACTACAGTAGTAGCTCAACACTAATTCCAAAGCCAGCAGTATTTTATAACCAATTGTTTTGGGTTGCAGGTTATGTAAAAAGATGTTTACAATAGCACATCCATTGTGTAGTAATTCCCCACTGTGTGGAAGTGTGGATGCTATGATATCACGGTGTAACTTAGCATTAGCGGTTCTGTCTTGCTCGCTTTTGAAAAATTTCACACTCCAGCAGCTCGTGCATTTTTAGGAACTTTCTTATTTTAAAACAAGTCAGCTAGAAACAATAAAAAGCCAGCTACAGAAAGCATTTTCAGCTTCAACCTAATTACATAGATAGCAAGCTACTGCTGAAAAAATATGCTATCTATGGCTGTGACAAAACTAACAGTCATGGAGAAGCCTGCTTTTGTTCAACAGAAGAGGCGACTCTGTGTGTTTACCATGTCTGGATTTCATGCAAGATACACAGTTTGGCTCTCTCCACAGACCTGTAGCGTGCGCCTTTTTATTAAACAACTAGGTGCTAACTTCAACTAGGTGCTTTGTTGCCTAATCCTAATCATACCTTAACTCTCTCATTCTAGTCCCTGCCAATCCCCAGTGTGTTTCCCATCCTGCCCAGTCTCCTCCCAACACACCTACTTCCCTTTAGTCATCAGCCCCAGTACTCCAGAGTCAGCATTCATCATTTTGTCACACTGTCTACTAGGCTACATCTCAAAGCTGCGGTCCTCCAGTATTTCCTTGTTTTATTTGTTCAACCTTGTGTCTGTTTTTTTCGACTCCTTGCCTTAGCCCTTTCTGCTTAGTTTGAAGGAAAGTCTGACTCACCCATACAACACAACCTAAATTCTCTGCTGCTTTTGAATCCATGCTTCAGAGCAGCATTCTCAGGCCCTCGTATCACCTTACTCAACCCAGACATAATGCTGGTACGGTGTTTATTTATAGGGAGACTTTCAGGATTACCCTAGTAGCATGAAATTGCTGACCCAGTGCTGGTTAGGTTGGAAGACAACTGCAGTCTGGGTTTGAGCCACTGACAGCTTTGCTGCATGATTTACAGCAGTCCTACTAACACTGAGCCTTAGTACAGCCAGATGTCTTTTAACAATCAGGCTAGAGTTGGGCCAGCAGAGTTCTGATGTTGTGCACCAGGCTTCATTTAAATTCTCAAGTAGTCACTGCTGTCACTGATGATTGTCAGGTTTTGTCATCATTCTGGACTATTACTGCAGGTCAGGATACAAGTAAGATGGTTTTCCTTCATTTCCTTTCGTACCTGAGGCATGCCAACACTTATTTTTGTATTATTATTATTATATTCTCCTCTAAAACCACTCTGCTGTCTTAGGTTTTTGTCTGCTGGTTTTGAAAAGCAGCTCTATCTGAAAGTCATCTTCATTTCATTTTTGTGAATAAATCCTGTCCATAAGCAGAGAAGAACAGATGGTCTTGTTTGGCCATTTAATGGACTTTGATTACGCTAATGATTAATTGTTAAAAATGCGGACCTTGTGAACAGTCAGCAAACTGAAACAAACATATTACAACAAGTTTTGTGCATTTAAGAGAGTTTGCAGAACCCATCCCTTGTTTATTTACAAGAAAATTTTATAGGCTATCTTTAATATCAATGTGACGTACAGTGCATTGTAGTCTTAAAAGCGAAGTGTGAACAGCATTTCATATTCTGATGGATGGAATTTGGGAACAAACTGAAGATGCAGATGAAGTAAAAGGTTGGTTTCGATGTGTGTTGGTGTTCAGTTGGTTTGAAAATAAGAGAAAAAGGTGAGTTTGAGTGTCATCACCATGGAGATAGACACAAAGAGACACAGCGTTGCATTGATTCAGCACCATGGAGAGAGACACAAACAGCGACTAGGTTTGAATATGTCCATGCCATGGACAGATACACAAGAAGAGAGATGCTGCAGTTTCACAAACAAATTTTGCCTCTTCCCCCATATCATGGAGGAACCCCCAAATGACAAGAAATATGGCTGCATGAACAAATCTGATTGTGCTCTCATTTTTACTTCCTTGGAACAAAGGGATAAAACACATGATTCCAGCATAAATGATCATCCCACCACAACAGGAGGTTATGTTTCATGAAGTATGACCAGATTTGGTGCTTACAAAGAGGGACTGGTTTGAGCTAGGGATGGGCGTATTGATGCTCAGGTATCGATACTTCGATACCCACCAGTTGATATTTTGGAGTCAATACTTTTTTAAATATCATGGTACCACTGTGCTAATACAAAACATAAGATTTGTTTTCACTTCTGAGAGTTTTAGTTATTAAATGTATGCATGAAAACCAGCCCGGGCGTATTTTAGATGTTCTTCCATGTCACATGGTTATGGCAGCAGCACCCATGACCAAATTTAAAGGCAACACACCCTGACACTTTTAAAGAGGCTGAACATCGCCATGAAGACAACCAGCAAGCCTTAAAGTCCCCCGCACCATCTGCTGTCTGTCAGAAGACATTGCAGGATAGTTTCACGAAAGGCAAAGAATATCCAGGTACAGGTGACAGTTAATGTGTTATAAATGATTTAAAAATTGAATGAACCATTATTCTATTAAACTACCCCAAATATGCAACTGAGCTATGTGAATCTTGGATGAAGCCATGTTCCCCACTCTTTCATTTAGTTGACAAACGTAAAGGATCATATGCTTGTACTGTATGTAGCTGAAAATACTGACAAACAGTTTTGTTTCTAGAATGTTATCATTGGAAGTAATTTTCAGTTAAGGAGCAAAAAGTATTGGTATTGGTATTGGTATCAATGCAAAAAGTACCATAAACTTATGGTATCGTACTGAAAGGAAAAATGTTGGTATCGCCCATCCCTAGTTTGAGTATTTCTTCCAGCTTTCCAGTTTTTGTCTTTCCAGTTATGACTATGAATTAAAAGTGCTTTTACCCAGATGTGATGAAAAACAGAAAAACTAATAGCAAACTGAGTACAAGCTAGTGACAGTGTGGCTGTGACCTGTTTACCGTTTAAAAAATATTCCCTATTTTACTGGAACCCACTGTTGATAGACAGTCATGAGTGAAGATGACATCATCTTCATCCATCTCTTACTACAATGTCCTCTCCCTCCCCTACTCACCTTTTCTCCTTCTGTCCCTTTTACACTGATTTTCCAGCACACACTACAACTCCCCATCCCCTATTTGGGGTCTCACCTGCACGTTGTGCTGTGCAAAAAAGGAAACCGCTTGATTACTGTTATTTATCAGAAAATGTAGCCAGTGAAAAGAACAGGCACTTTGCATATGCCATGTCCTAACTCTGTACATGGGACACAGGACAGAGACTGTTATCACCTTTCTGTTGCTTTTTGATCTTCCATGCTGTAGTCAGTCTCCCTTTCTGTCTGTCCCCTGGGAGAGGACAGAGACCTGTACGCCTTCATATACAGTAAATCTCTTGCAAGAGCGTGGCCCCTCTAGAACACTCAGTCTGTTCCTTCTGCTCTCTGCTGTGAAGTGCAATAGTTTATCACACAACACACAACGGATGGCACAGATTGTTTAGTCTCTTTTTGTTCCACTCTTCCTCTGTAAGGACAGAAAAGGAAGGCAGAGGGGCTGTTTGACATCAACAATAGTAGGCAGTGCAAGGAGGGTATGACAGCAAATTAATTTTCTTTGTTAGTGGCTCCACTAATTTGTGTTTGCCTTAATAACCATGACACCACTGTGGCTGATTTTAATAGGTCAAGAACACCAGTGGTCTCTGAGGAGACACAGATTAGTGAGTGAGTTGGAACAGCCCAGACAATTTTTCATGTAAATAAGGGGCATATGTTCAGCAGAACAAGGTTAACACAACAACAAAAAAAACGCCACCTGGTTTGATTAGTAATTGTGTTGTAATTTTATTTACATAGTGAAAAATTATGGTCAGTCGCTCGAAGTCTGTTACACTATTTGGCTCATACTTAAAGTATTGCTGCATTAAAAACATGAGTACCTGCTACTGATGTACCAGAGTCAAATTCCTCGTGTGTCCAAAACACCTGGCCAGTAAAACTGATTCTGAGTAATTCTGAATGTGAACATTCCCTAACTATAAACATTCAGACCTGTTAATGGAACAAACAGTATTTTGGGCCTTCTAGCTATAATTTTTTAAAAAGACACAAAATCACTGGCTTCAGGAACCGCATGCCCCTGCAGTGTACTGCATTCATCATCTGGAATGTGTTCTTTAACCGTAATAGTCCTCATTCTATTATGGAAGGAATTCATTACAATATGAACACTATTTCTAGTTGTTTAACTGATAATACGTATAATTGTTACAGACAATGTGCAACTAAAATTATACAGAGCTCCTTTTAAGAACAGTTGTCTGCGTGTTTTAGGAGAAGTATGAAATTTACTTTATTCCTTCTACATACTGTATGATGTTTGCTAGGATGATAGGATTTGTGTTGATATGATGACTTTGTTACTATTTTACTACATGCACATGGCATCTTGTGTTGATCTTATTTAGGATATGATGTTTACATGGAACATGAGAAACCCAGTTTCCTCTGTGTATAATATCCATGCTTTTGTTTGTCTGTGTGTAGGTGTGGTTCAGTTGCTCAGCATCTCAGTTACTTCTTTCTGAGGATAAACAAATT